TTTTCAATAACGCGAAAAGGAAAGTATGGTAAAAATCGTTAGAGAATCTGCCGTACCAACTATTTTATGGCAATGGATCCGTATGCGTATAGTACCAAGATGGTGCAGCAAGTTCGAAGATAACTATCCTAGGTTATTCAATAGGCTTGCTACACACTAACACGATGACCGTACTCATTGACCGCACGGTTCAATCTATACGCTGGTGCTAAAACCCATGGGTTAGGGTTAGTATGGGTTTAAATATCCGTAAAACAAAAAAATTTCCATAGGTGCAATAGTATGCAGGTGCAGACTAAATACTTACACGTCGTCTATGCTTTTTTTGCCGATGTATTCGTATGCATAAAATGCAAGGATGCTGCAGCAAGAGTGGAGATGACTTTTTTAAGTAGTAATCCAAGAACCCGACTTTGTTCAGACGAAACGTTGCAAGAATTGTAATAGTGTTCAGCAAAATTCTTGAATCGCTTTGAATAGTCACTTTTATTCTTGATGCGGCATCCGAGCTTTATACGTATACACCATCGCAAAGGCATAGAACAGGTGTGGGCAAGGTTTCTGTACCAGGGGCCAAATATTTTGCCCACCCACACTGTCGGGCCATGTAAGTATAACGTAAAAAGTTACATTTTATTAACAATATTTACAGTGTTACAAAATCAAAATTGGAAAACAATGTGCCTCGTCACAAAACTAAATTTAATCGCAACAAACCCAAGGAATTCCTTGAGTCATTTTTAGCTAAAACATCGAAATTTGGTTTTAGTTTGATTGTCGCAGAACCATCGGGCCAGATTAAATTACCCAACGAACCGGATTTGGCCCGCGGGAAGTAGTTTGCCCATATCAGGCATAAAAGAATGATAGATAAGTATTTAGTCTAGCAGCAACACATTTGTGTAGTTTACAGCGAAATTCTCGAATCATATATAAAAGTCAGAAATATTTTCATTTATCGTAAATTAATAAATATCAATCATAATATATCAGTGACAAAGATTTGCGCTTTAGGCAGTTTGCTACTTGTTTTGGCAACTTGGATGGCATAATTAAACGTCAGGTCATACGTCAGCAAAAAAATATAGAATTTTTAGGATTTTTGAAAATCTTGTAAAAAGGGAGATTAGGATGGTTTTTATTTGACCAATTTTCCTCCGATATTATTTTTAACAATCACGGATGGACGAGACTGATTAAATTACTTTTCCGAATCTACGTGGTCGCTAGGAAAGCAGAAAATTTGAAAGTCAGATGAGATCACGAATAAAACGAGTATAGGTGTAAGTTGAATTGAAACGATATCTCACAAGTTAACTTTCAAAACGCAACACGAGCTTCTAAATTAAGACATTGCTCTGAAGTGCACGGACGATATTTTGAGCATCTATGAGTGTAACATAACATATGCCTTAAAAAAAAGTTATTCTTTGTAAAAGAAATAGCTGTTTGACAAATGTTTTTTAACGACTACCCTGTATTTTCTATTATCCCGCTGAGATTTGTATGTATAGCCGTGAGCTGTACATAATGGTATTGCGAATAAATGTGCGCAATTGTCTTTTTGTTGTATAGGCAGCAAACAAATCATTAATATAACTAATCGTGATTTACAGTGAAAGCAAATAAAATTTGAAATGCTTTTATTGGAGTGTATACTCGTAATCGAGCTCAAAAGAACAGCTTTGGTTTTGCGTGCCATAGTTAAAATATTCTTGCCTGAAGAAGAAATACATTTGTGTTAGTGTGACGCAAGACTCATATATATAGAATATTCGGCGCTCCAGAAGTGTGTGTACCAATATGGAGATTGAGACCAATATGGTGGGTCTCTGACACTAGAACGTAGTACCGGTATGTAATTTTATTGCAATTTTTTTTTATTTTAGTTATATTACGAGTTCGGGGACTAGCCAAGTGACTCCCGTAGTATTTGTACCTAGAATTAAGTTTTAACCCTAACCTGGTACACTTAATATGTTTCGGTGTCCGCCATCTTGAAACGCATACTTCAGGAGCACTCTTGAATCCTATACACACATTAAAAGTATAACTATCAGTTGAGGCTACGCGAGACCAACTATCTTTCTTGCTTCCTATGCCTTCGTACAAGTGGATGCGTGTGCGTTTTGCGACGTTGTAGTAAGAATAAAGGTGATTATTCTATTTAATGGGTGAAAAATCCAAGTCTAAATAAATCTGACCTCGGCCGGAAAAAACGTTACTGAAATACATTTGTGTTAAAGTGCAGCAAGACTCTTGAATCACTCAGAATAGGGAAACACCTTCGTTTCTTAGCCCAGGCCATACATGGTACAAGTCAAAATATCTCGTTTTATCGCTACCTCATATGCGGCCGTTAAATAGTTGAGTCAATATTTTTTAGAACTTTGAATCTTTCATAATATTTGAACAAGCTGTCGTGCAACAGTTTTATGTCCGTACTTTATTACGTCGTAAAAATTTCTTACGTGAAAATTTAATGCGTGGTTGCTGGATTAGCAAGGCTGATTCAGAGCGCGGTTTTCGATAACTTAATGGTAAATAGGTGACTCAACTTAACCCGAAACTTGAGGTTAAATTTTTAACTAAGACTATTTTTGGCCCAATGTACTCAAGCAAGTAAAGAAGACTCATCACTGAGCAAAATTACGGGCACTCACTCAGAAAAAAAAAGAGACTCATCTCTGGGCAAAGTTACGGGTATTTAATCAGAAGTAAATGAAACTGATCTCTGGGCGGAGTTACGGGTATTCACTCAGAAATAAAGGCACTCATCTTTGGGCAAAATTATGTGTACTTACCCAGACGTAAAGAAGAATCATCTCCGAGAAACGTTACGAACACTCACTCAGAGGTAAAAATATTTATCTTAGAGCGAAGTTACGGGTATTCACTCAGAAGTGGAAGAGACTCATCTTTGGGCAAAGTTACGGACACTCACTCAGAGGTAAAAAGACTTATCTTTGAGCAAAGTTACGGACACTCACTCAGATGTGGAGGAGACTCATCTCTGAGCAAAGATAGGGATAGTAAAAGCCGACGAGATGAAGATTCATGTTATCAATGTGCTACGAAATTATTGACTTAAAATGATTCTAACCATCACATGTTAAGCTAAGTTATTATTGAGCTAAGTTAGGTTATTGGTTTTCCTCCTATCTTATTTTATTTCAACTTAATATTAACAGAGTCGAAGAAAATGGATAGGAAAATAATGGTGGGGCGATAACCGGATACCACACAATTCTGAATTGAATTTTCCCTTCTCATGTGTTACGCTTTTATTATGTCACAGTAAAGTAAATTATGTTTATTAAATCGTCACGAACAAAAATATTTTCTTTCTTCATTCAAGTAGCATGACTTCTGTCAGGCTTGGACCAAGCTTAGCCTGGTTTGAATGTTGGATTTTTTGTGTGATCCATGCTTGATCGGTTGATAAAGCCCCTTCACTTCGTGGACAAACAATGGATTGAAATGAACAACAAATATCGTGAGAATTTGTACACTTTTAAAAATATAGTTAAGTTAACTTGTTTTGTGTTGCATAATTGAAATTCAATAAAAATGATATTTATTACAAATTAGTCAAGTCCAGAAAGGCTCTTTAATTGGATTTGGTAGTCATCTTTACTCTTGCTACAGCATACTTGCATCATACCCATATGTGCAACATTTTTGTCGGTGAGCCATATAACCAACTTCAGACATTAAACTGGGCCACACAAAATAATAATTTGATTTTCCTTGTACATGATGGATTCAAAAATTCTCACAATGAAAAAACTATCGCTTAGCCTGGAGTACTAAAGGCACCAGACAAAACGGCGAGAGATTTACCACACGCAAAAAAACAGTGTGTATTTTATGCATGTAAGCGCCGTTTTAAACATAAACTGTCTGGTTAGAATTTTATGCTTGGTGGGAAAAATGGGCTGTGACCCTCGGGCCGCCTTGTGCTAATCTTTGGTATAGAGGAAATATAGGTCGTTGGTGTCACATATCCGCGACAGATAGCTGAGTATATTATTGTTGTTTAGAACAGTGAATCTCAACCTTTATTTCTCTGTGGCCCATTTTCAACGTCAAATGAAATCTCTTCCTTGCAAACACCTTAATAGACATTTCATAAAAATGATTTTTTTTCATGATCATGAATAACACAGCAAAAGTTTTAATGATCGAACTAATCCTTGTGTCTATTTATCAGCTTTTCAAATTGAACCTTCATGCCTTTGTTCAATTCCAGTCTTACATTTTTTATTGGGACCTATTGCTGGCCGAATGGAAACTCCAGGTCTTTATCAAAAACGCATCGAGGAGAAATGGTTTATACTTAGCACAATAATTATACTTCCAAATTTAGGTTAATTTTACTATTTCTTTGATCTACGTAGTAAAAGACTCTTGTATGGTACTTGAGACACTAGGAGGTTTGTTTGCTTCTGTGTTTACGAAGTCCGGCACTTTCGCTGGACTCCAGATCAATGGATTGATTGTTTTCGCGTGATTTCAAGAAAAAAATCAAATAATTGAATACTTGAGATCGAAGTCTTTAATATGTCTTGTATGTTTTTCTACAAGAACTCCAGGCCTGGAAACGCAGTGTGGAAAGCCCATCACGCCACTTTGAAAGTAAAGTTTATTTTTAACAATTACAGTTACCGGTATATGAATTCACTACCCATAGTTATTCACCTGAACGTATTGACTTGAACTGCTTCAAGTTTTTTGTTAATTTGTATTTGCTATAACGCAATGCATCTCCATAGTTTCAGCAACCCTTGACAAGAAAATGTTCGCCAAAATTTGCTCAAATACGAGTTTTAATGAACTCCTGATGGAGTGCATTTCGAGTAAATTTTCCAAAAAAAAAAAACGAAGAATCACCCAACTTTGTACAAAACCTTTTTCGGTGAGAATATCTGAGAACGCTTTATAACAACTTGTTCTATTTTGCATAATAAATAGCAATAAAGGTAAATTAAATACTATCTAGTCAAAATACAACACTAAGAGGAAGAATCATGGAAGGCACTGTTGATCTAACGGAAACAGAGACTTATGTTTCAACTTATCAGTTGAGTAGTACTTCCGCCATGTTTGGTCCAAATTCAACCGAACCGAGTGTCACTACCGACATGTTTGGTCCAAATTCAACAAACTGGGTTACGAATGAAGATTCTTCTGCGCCTGTTCAAAGAGAGTTTAGTGCAACTGTCCTTCCGATTATTTATTCTATTGTTTTTGTCGTTGGACTCATCGGAAATGGACTCGTTATTTACATAATGCATTTGAAGGTAAGTGTATATAGTCTAAGCATTCTATACAACACTGTTTACCTGGCATCAGTGGTGGAATTCAAATTTTTTGTCAGCCGGTTTCATCAGGCAAATGTCATATTTTCAGCCGGTTCTGTTACAAAAAGTCATGTTATTTTTTCAGTAATGCTAACCGGTTCGCTGATCTCATAAAATTCCGTGAGACGGTTCTATAGAACCGGTGCGAACCGGCTGAATCTCACTAATGCCTGGCAGGGGCAAACTACGACTAGCGGGTCAAATCCGTCCCATTGGGTAATTCAATCTGGCCCCCATGATGCTTCCACAAGCAAACTAAAACTTTTGATGTTCCAGCTACAAAATAGCTCGAAAAATTTGTTGAGATTGCGATTAAATTTAGTTTTGGCGTGAGGCTCATTGTTTCCCACTTTTGCTTTTGTACATTGTAATTATTGTTCACAAAATGTAACTTTTTACATTACACTTACATGGCCATGGCCAGCCAGTCTGGGTGAGCAAAATTTTGGAACCCTGGTTCAAAGACCTTGCCCTTGCCCAAAGACCCCTACTGCATACGCTTTTCATTCCAGACAAGGCTCTGCGCAAGTACCTATATAGTTTGGAACTACCGGGATTCTTTTTTGCTCGGCATTGCCCAGGCTATTTATTATACCTTGAGTGAGGCGAGGGGATTGCCATATTAAATTTCTATTTGGCTTTTGACTATCTTTCATGTGGTTGTGTTTCCGAGTATCGTTTCGAAATCGTGCTCAAAAAATCATCTTGCACTGTACCACAAATATTTTCCTAATGTTCTAGCTCACCCACCTTGACTAGCGGGCAATGTAAGTGTGTCGTAAAAAGTTACATTTTTTGAACAATATCTACGGTGTTACAAAAGCAACAATGAAAAACAATAAACCTCGTGCCAAAACTAAATTTAATCGCAATCTCAACAAACTTCTTGAGAATTGAACAGAAAAATAGCTCAAGGAGTTTGTTAAGATTGCGATTAAATTTAGTTTTAGCACGAGGCTTAACGTTTTCCACTTTTGCTTTTGTAACACCGCTTTCCTAACTGAAATAACCAAAATGAAACCAAATTTAGAGATTTGAACGAATTTGGTTTCAGTTTGGTTGTGGCAGCATCAAGCGGTCGGATTGAATTTGGCCCGAGAGACGTAGTTTGCCCGTGACAGTTTTAGCTAGACCTGAAATATTATCTTATCAATCTCGCAATATACTTCTTAGCAATATAGGACGCAGTACCACATTGGGTTTTAATTCCGGGGCTTATTTGTGTATTAGAGTGCGTTGAGAAGAGATAAGTGCCTAATTTGAAAGCAATTCTGGTACAATTACATCTGAGCCACAGTAAGCGGCTTATGTTTCCAAAAATCTAAATCAGAGAGATTAAATATAGAGAAACATTTATCTCTTGGTTCCTGGTTCCATTTAGAATTTGAACAGATAGGAATTAAAAAATATTTGTGTTTTCAAAAATATGAATTAGAGCAAGGGTTCTTAAACTTTCGGTGTTATGGAGCCCGTGGAGAGGTTGGCTATTATATACGGAGCCTCGCAAAAATCTAAAAAGAATAAAAACAACAAAAAAAATGCATTGTTACTTAACGAGTAATGTTCCCGGGTAAATTAAAATTACTGGGAAATTATAGATAATGTCATATCTGAACAACCGTCGTGTTGTCAGTTGTCAAACTTTATTAATGCCGTTGTTGCTTATTTGGACAGTTATTACCCAAGTTAGTATTTTAATAAAGAAACGAATACATCGTGGATCCCCTCGGTTTCTTTCATACGGAGCACTTTGGGAACCCATGCGTATCTCTTTTAGAATATATTCAATATTCCCTGTTCATCAATATTATTTCACAATGTACTCGAAGAATTTCCATAATGCGATAGTTGGATTAAAAAGATTATGTTTTTAATCTCGCTGTATACGCCTTAGGATTTGAAGACGATGCCACAAGTAGTCTCAGCGTCGACAGATTACTTGTGTATTTGTGAGGATTACCGATAATAATTACATTTATTATTCTAGTTCTGTCCATGCAGATTTAAAAATATAAAATTTTATTACCATCTGTGACATTATTTGTGTATCAGAATGGATTACCGAGATATAAATTCATACTTTAATTAAATCCGGTAAAATTTCATCTGAGCTACTGAGCCGTTCTACACTTTAAAATGAGAAGTGACAAAGAAATGATAAAGAAGTGACATATTATGGTTGTGTTCTGTTTCTCCCATTGCAGATTTAATGAGATAACAATTTATTACTATCTGTGTCATTACTTGTATGTTAGAACAAATGCATAATTTCAAAATAAAGCCGGTAAAATTCCATCTGAGCTACTGAGCCGTTTAAGCCTCTGAAAGGCGTTGCCAGAGATATTATGTTTGTGTTCTGGTTTCCCCAATGTATTTTCAAGAAGATTTATTTTTATCTGCTATTATTTGTGTGTTAGAACGGATTATTGAGCTACAAATGCATAATTCAAAAACAAATCCGGTAAGATTACATCTAAGCCATTGTATGATATGTTTCAGTCTGCCAGGAATAAAGAGAAAAATATTCATTATCATCTGTGGAATTAAAATATAAATATAGTCAGGCTGCTAATAGCAAAATCTTGCGTTTCGAATGTTACAAAAACTCATTTTAGGGTTACCGAACTCGCGTTCGTGCTTCTTTTTTCTTAAATATCAAATGTTTATTAGCGGCTTATTATGGTTGACATACTACGGAGATTACATTTTCAATCAAATTAGAGGCGCAAATTATAACCTATATTTTGTTATTTAGACTTAGAATCGGTAATAAACTCAGTTTTCAAACTATAAGAGGGTTATCATGGCTGGCATAATATGATATATTAGATTTTCACTCAAATTAGGAACGCTTGTTTTTGGGCAGATATTAAATTTATATATTTGATTAAATTTAGAGCGTACATTACGAATTCGCGGTAACGCTTCTTATTGGGAAAATGCATATAATATATCTATAAGGAGCTCATTACGGTTGACATGTTATAGAAATAACATTTTCACTCAAAATAAATGAGTCCATTTTCAACTTCGCGGTCGCACTTTTTTTTATTTATAAATGAATGAATATCGAATTTGCAGTAGCGCTTTTTCCTTATACTTATATTAAAAATAAGATTTCGATAAAAATTAGAACTTACACTTTGAATTCGTGGTAACGCTTCTTTTCGTTACGTGGGCCTATTATGCACATAATTAGCTTATCCCAACTGGCATTTTATTACCGCTCTTTTTATGTTAATTCATATATTTAAAATGATTTTAAAATTCTTATTACGCTTGACATATTATGGGAATTGATTTTCACTCAAAACAAATGGTTACTTTACTTACTTTTTCACGTCGCGCTTCTTATTGGGCAGATACATATAAGAATTTTATTACTGTTGACCTACTATGGAAATAGAATTTTTGAATAAATTTCAAGCATAATTTACGAATTCGCGGTAAGGCTTCTTTTTTGTTATATGAACCAAAAATGCGTAATAAACTTATCGGCGTTCCAGAAGTGTGTGTAGCAATATGGTGGTTTACATCAAGTTGTGTAAAGGAACTGAAACCTATGGGCAGAGGGTATATTCACTTGGCTAATACAGACAGTTCCCGAATTCGTAATAGAACTAAAATAAGAAAAATCGGAATAAAATTTTGGTTTATTCATAAATTAATATAATTAATATGTGAAGTTTATTATTCTGACGTAATTTAAAACTGAATTTACAGAGTGTCCATAAAGTCCCCTTACAATAGGAGTATTTTTACTTCATATATTACATCTATGGTATTGATAAATTGTCTTTGCAAATTAAAAAAAAATTATGTAATTCATGTACACCTTTTATATATTGTTATCTTTTCGAAGGACTATTTTTTTTTACCTTTTTTACCGCGCTTTACACCTTTTTACTTTTACCACGCTGGGGTATTGAACTAATTAGATTTCCATTCACTTTATAATCGTACATTTAAACTTCGCGATCACGCTTCATATTGGGCAGATGAATATGAGAATCATATTACGCTCTACATAATATGGAAGTATATTATACTTTGCGGGTGCACTTCATATTCATAATTCATTTTATAGACCGCATATCAGAAGCACATGACATCTGGTATATTTTGACAATTAGTTTTTCTATGAAACAGCGTGTATTTTAAATTCGCGTTCGCACCTAATTTTTGTTAGACGGACATAGAAAGCGTATAATTAGCTTATCCCACCTGTCATAATGCGTTCGCGCTTTTTCTGTATATCCTTACACAAAACGACTATAAAGAGATTAATACAGCTGGCGTAATATGGAAATGCATTTTCATTCAAATTAAGAATGTACATTTCGGCCTCGCGTTTGCGCATCTTCTTCGGTATATCGTATAGAATGAATGTAGTGAGCTTATACGCTTGACATATTATAAAATTAGATTTTCATTCACATTAGGAGCGTACAATTAAATTGCGTGATCGCGCTTTTTATTGGGCTGATACATATAAGAATCTTATAACGCTTGACATAATATGGAAATGACATTTTCAATCAAAATCAATGAGTACATTTTAAACTTCGCGATCGCACCTATTATTGGTTATATGATTATTGACTGCATATTAGAGGCATATGAAATCTGATATATTCCGAAAATTATGAAATTATAATATTATGAAAACAGCGTACATTTCGAATTCGCGTTAGCACTTGTTCTATGGACCCTAAAAGCGTATAATTACCTTATCTCACCTGTCATAATGCGTTCGCGCCTTTTGCTCTATATATTTATACACAAGAGGGTTAATACAGCCGGCGTAATAGGGAAATGCACTTTCATTCTGATTAAGAGTGTACATTTTGAATTCGCGGTTGCGCTTCTTCTTCGATATATCCGTATAGAAAGAATAGGCTGGCTTATTACGCTTGACATATTATAAAATCAGATTTTCA